AGAAAAGAAAATTAAATAAGACAAGTCTTATTCCTCCAGAGCTTTCATTCTGTTATCAGCTTATGCTGTAGTGAATGGAGCTATTCTTTAGAGCACTTGTACAGCCATTTGGGGGATTCTGCTTTTCAGTGCCTTTGTTTTCCAATATGAATCTAGGAAAACTTCCAAATAAGATAATTCTTGCTTAGGTTTACACTTCATTGCCTTGATTATGCTATTTAGGAAGAAACATGCCAGTCTTTTTATATCTCTTTGGCAACATTTCTTATTTATTTCCCCCATCACTCAAATAGCTTCTTTGATTGGACTTACATCTTTAATTTCCTTCTCTATTGCTATGTTATTTCTTGCTTTTATTCTTTTTCTGTAATAACAGTATCTTTGTATCATATGCTTTCTCTTTAAAGAAACAGCTTTCCTAATTTCTTTTTTACTTTGCCTATCTAAATTTTCTGCATATGGAACTTTTCCCATCAGAAAAGCCCTACTTGCTCCATGCCTGTTTTCCTTTGGACTCCTCTCCTTTGGCTCCCGTAACAGCGTTTTGTGGCTCAAGCACCAGACTTTTGTAGCTAAACTGACCGCTCAGAGAAATTCCTTGTTTAGCATTGATTTCCTATTTTGTGTGCATCTCCCACTCCTCATCTTCTTTACTTCTAACTCAACTCTTTTTTTTCCAACCACCTGCTCTGCTAAGGTCATCTCAACAGCAGGAAGTGAAGCTTTCATATCATGCATTGACTGCCACAACCACTGAAAAAGCCAGATTTAGTACTTGCAATTCTGTTAAAATTGACATCTTTTATGGAAACAAGAATAAATTCAAGAAATAGTCTCTCTTGAAGATTTGGAGAGTTTCTTCTCTTTATATAGATCTTACCGTAAAAAACCAACATCTTATTTCCTAACAATCACCATCTTTAGAGATGTTTTGAAGAACATTATCCAAAGATACCCAGATTACATATTACAGTCATCTTGCAACAATATCTAGGGAGCTGAATAATATAATTCTTCAATGTATCCAGGTTGTTATTTTTGTATCTCAGAATACATACAGATGTCTTTATTTGTAATCATCATTTTATGATCAAAAAGTAGAAAAGATACTGATACATGCATATGTTAGTATTAATGGGAAGTGTAGGTCCAAAGCAAGGGCTGCCTTCTGAAGGAAACTGGGAAATGCACAGTATATTTTGTATACTAGAATTCTAAATTGATGTTGGCAATGACTAAGGAAAGGGATTTAATCTCCTTCTCAAAAATATCATATTTAAAATAGACCTTATGGCACCACTGAGAATCTTTGTCTTAATGGATGAATCAACATCTTTATTTATTAATTTGCGAGTTTTCTGTTTGTTTGCTCTTAAAGTACATTGACCCTGTCTTTATTTCCTTGTTTACTGAGAACTGAGCAGTCCAGGCCAAAGTTAGTAAGTAGCAAACTTCCTTTCTAGGAGTGCTCTCTCTAGAGATAAAAAACCTCTAATTTTCCATATATTTGAGATGAGTTTGAACAGCAATTTTGTTATATGTTGCTGGAATACTTTTTATAGCAGAACTCTGTTTACTTTGAAGGGTCCTTTGCTCTGCACAAATTTCCTTCCAGCATCTTTTCTCTGGCATTATCCTTCGTGTCTTGATTGAACTCATGCGTTACCTTCTTTCCAGTTTTACCAAGTTCCAGCTATACATATTTCAGTTTTCCACAATTTTCTGCACACTTAAGCTTACATATATGCTAGAAATGAGGAAAAAAAATATCAGTGTATATAAACGTTGCAATGATCTCTAGAATCTTATAGCATATAAAGATAAACATAATGAATTACTAAGAATATTTCTTTACGGCAGCGGTATAGTGGGAGTTTATTATGTGAGGTTTTCTTTACTTCAAAAAGCTTGCAGTTAGTATGAAACACAACAGGATAGATACAATGTACAGACAGCGTGGGCAGAAGAGAAGGTAAAGGATTACTGTGCAGTCATATTTCCAGAAGTGTGAATCTTCAGTATTTGGCAGTTTTGAAATATGAAAACAAAGGCTTCATTTCAGTCACTTTTTGTTATCAGCCTAGTAATTTAAAAGACATTTAGTTACTAAAAATGAATATGTACGTTACTGCTGCTCATAACAAAAAAACCCAGCAAAATTCGTAGAAGGTAGGGATCAGATTTTAATTTAAATAGAAGACCTGTCAATATACAGAATACAGTGTCAGCAACTCTCTTCTGAGTGTTAGCTTGTGTCATTGCTCTTCATGTCAAATTGTCATAACATGCCTGTCATGACATCTTTCAACTAACCTTAAAACCAAGTCTGAGCATTATACAAGGAACGAAGTTTAAATAGGATCCTTACATTTAGCAGTGCTGTCCAGTAGTAATCGTTCTCTCTCTTGGTGTTGATGAAATTGGCTGGGTATGAAGAGTCCTTCAATTGTTCATGATATCTGGATGTCTTTTCAGTTACCAAACCCTTTTACTGCTGTACTATGTTATGCTATATTCGAGGAGCTTCTCTTTCTTCCATCTTGTATAAGCTTTGCAAGGAAGCCTTGCAATAACTGTAGAAGTTGGAGGGTGGCACTTTAAATCACAATAAAATGTTTCACATATGACATTCACGATTAAATGCAGGTCACTGGAACAGGCTCCCCAGGGAAGTGGTCACGGCACCAAGCCTGTCAGAGTTCAAGGAGCATCTGAACAATGTTCTCAGTCATATGGTTTAGTTCTAGGTAGTCCTGCAAGGAGCAGAGTTTGACTTGATGGTCCTTATGGGTCTCTTCCAACTCAATATATACTGTGATTGTGTGATTTCCATTGGTTTACACTACATATGTCTACACCTTCCTTTCCTTCTTTCCTCTATCCTATAATTTCTCTGTTAAGGATGTATGCTTTTTGGGACAGGGACCATTCACTATTCTGTTTATAGGAGGACAACCTATTATTGATATTCTATAGTTATAGTCGATTTTTTTGTGTATAAATTTTGTATACCTCTACAATAAACCATTTCTGATACTTTTCTTTTGGTTTTCTTTTTCTGAGAGTAGAACATAAATACTCAAGGCTTATTGCCACCATTTCCTTCCCTATTTAATCTGTAGGCCTCTCCTTGCTCTTGTTAAGTTTTGTCTTTTGTGATAAAGCACAGATCTAGTACTATATTCTCTATATTCTCTTACTTTTCAATGTCTCTCTCTTGTGCTTCCAGAAAACTGACAAACTTTCACAGTGAAAAATGCCATTTTCCCCATCTAGCACTGCCCTTTCTTAATTAATATAATCATAGAATTGTCATGGTTGGAAAAGACCTTTAAGATCATCAAGTCCAACCGTTATCTAACTCTACCATACCCACTTCTAATCTCTGTCCCCCGAGCACCATATCTGGACGGCATTTAAATACATCCAAGGATGGTGATTCCACTGCTTCTCTGGGCAGCCTGTGCCAGGCTTTGATAACGTTCTCAGTGTAGAAGTTTTTCCTAATGTCTAACCTAAACCTCCCCTGGCATAATTTGACTCCATTTCCTCTTATCCTATTGGTTGTAACTTGTGAGAAGAGACCCACTCCCACCTTGCTACACGCTCCTTTCAGGTAGTTGTAGAGAGTGGTAAGCCTCCTTTTCTTTAGACTAAACAACCCTGAGTCTCTCAGCTGCTCCTCGTAAGACTGATTGTCAAGACTCTTCACCAGCTTCATTGCCCTTCTTTGGACCCTCTCCAGCATCTCGATGTCAGTCTCATACTGCAGCACCCAAAATTTAACACAGTATTCGAGGTGCGGCCTCACCAGTGCTGAATACAGTGGGACAATCACTTCTCTGGTTCTACTGGCTATACTATTTCTGATGCAGGCCAGGTTGCCATTGGAACCTGGACACAGTGATTGCTCGTATTCAGTCAGCTGTCCTTTTCTGCCTGGAAGTCCCTGGTCCTTTTCTGCCAGGCTGTTCTCCAGCCATTCCTCCCCACACTTGTAGCGTCCATGGGGTTGTTGTGATCCAAGCGCAGGACCTGGCACTTGGCCTTGTTGAACCTCATACAACTGGCCTTGGCCCATGGATCCATTCTGTCCAGGTCCTTCTTGAGAGCCTTTCTGTCCTTTAGCAGATCAGCACTCTCATCTACCTTGGTGTCGTCTGCCAACTTAGTGAGGGAGCACTCAATCCCCTCATCCACATCACTGATAAAGATGTCAAACAGGAATGGCCCCAAAACTGAGCCCTAGGGAACACCACTCGTGACTGGCCACCAGGTGGGTTTAACTCCATTCACCACCACTCTCTGGGCCTGGCCATCCAGCCACTGTTTGATCCAGCAGAGCATATGCCTGTCCACGCCTTGGCCAAGCAGTTTGTTCATGAGAATGCTGTGCAAAACAGTATCAAAAGCTTTACTGAAGTCCAGGTAAACAACATCCACAGCCAAGATTGCTGCCCCTCTTAGGCAGCCCTTTATTATGTATGCCACTCCATACCTCTTATTATTTCAATAGTCAATGTCATATCAGGAATGGGAGGATTTGGGGGTCTTAAGTATTTCTGAGGTCCCAGCCATGCATGCTGAGATGAACTTGGACAGTTCATCTTGATAGGTCAAATAACATAGGCAGTTTCTGTAAATTGTGTGGGCGTTAAGTTTTGAAATTATTAATATTAAAAATTACTGTATTGTTATTAAATATTACTTTTATGTTAATGATTATACTGGTAGCAGAATATCACAAAGGATTTTTCTACTGAGAAGACCAAGTGCCATCTCGACCCATTATGATTATACTACCAACACTGCTACATCAGTCTTTGAATATGCATGTATTAAGAGAACTGTATTTTCTACCATACTCTAATACTGCTTCTGTAATCCTCAGTGCTCTTTTTCTACAGCATTTTTCCCAATACTGTGATAACTGCAAGACAGTGTCATTTTTTGGTGTCTATTTCTGCATTCCAATCCACCTGTCTGATTTCTCCTTTAAGGTAAATAATTACAGTTTAGAAGAAGTTACCCATGAAGAGGCAGTAGCGATACTGAAGAACACATCCGATGTAGTGTATCTGAAAGTCGGAAAGCCCACCACCATTTACATGACCGATCCTTATGGCCCACCAGATATTACTCACTGTAAGTGATTTTTGCAGCTCATTCTGTAGGAAATAAGTTTGTCAGATGATTGTGGCTTTTTTCATAGCTTGTCCGAAGTACCCCATTGAAGTTTATGAAACAGCTTGAAAGGCTACAAAAATGAGATGTTTATTGCCACTTAAGCATGCTATACGTATCAAGTATTCCAAATAATATACCTCTACTGAAGTATTTTTGCAGCAAAAGTAGCAATGCAGCTGATGTGCTTCTGTGCTGATTCCAATTAGCCACTGTCCAGGGGATCAGACTGAACTGTAACTCTTGTGACAATTACAGTGATAAGTATTTGCAGATGTATTTTGAAATATGATTAGATTTGTAGAGTGGAGTCCTCTGTCTACTGAAAAGTTGGAATAAGCAGCAAACCATCTTGTATAAACTTATTGAAAAGCCTGAGAAAAATATATACGATATCTGAATAAAATATTTACTTGGAAGGTAAAAAAATCACTGCTTTAGTAACTAATATTTACCTATTTTCTGTGTATATGCAATTTCTAAATTATTGTTCCTGTCTGTCCATTAATTTTGTATATGTTAATCTGCTGTTTTTTTCTCTGAGAACCAAGGCCTCATTTGTCCTTGCATTCAATGTACACTCTGTTGTAGGAAAAGTTTTTGAAGCAATAAAGTAAAGCTCAATGCAGGTTCTCACAGGAGGGGAAGACAGTTTTATTTTAAAACAAACTGATTTCAGTCAGGCTGTCATTTGCATGCACCCAAAATCATGTAGGCTCATGTCCAGCATTCAGGTGGAATGGCGTGCATCCAGGTGCATCAGCAGGACTCCCTGAGACGACCAAGTACAAGAGTGGGTGGCTGTGGAGTGCCTATCATACATACACCTTCTTCTTAGGCTGAAAACCTCCTCACTGATGAGCTCTTTGTACCCTTAAGGAAATGACAGCAATTAGGATCTTCTGTCTCTCCCATCAGTCCCACCTATGCAGGTCTTCAGGATTTCCTCACTTCCCTTTTGTCTCTTTATCTGAGTGTCCTAGGCTCCAGTCAAGTCTTTATCTCCTGCCATCACCTCCTATCGGTTTGAGTCTTTGTTTTAGTTTGGGTGTAGGCTCTCCTGACAAGTTACATGTAGTTAAGTTGAGTATTGGTGACCTATTGATGAATCTAGGTGCTATCAATACTTTCTTATACCCCTCCTGCCAGTCCTCCTGGCGCCCATACCCAGGCATTTCCATTCCCTTTTCATTCACAGCGATCTTGACATTTCAGTTGCAGCTCTCTATGCCACTGGTGCCTGTTCATCTAAACAGTTCATTCTCAAAACTCCCTTTCTTTATTTAATTTTCATTAAAACTGTCTGCCTTGAGTTCAACTACCAGCAGGGACCAGCTGCACCAACTGGATGGCAGTTTAATTTTTCACAAGAGCATCAGCAACTGACCCATACCCATCTTGATCTCCTACTTGATCCTAGAGGCACTAAAAGCCAACCAGGGGCAGGGAAAGACACATTTTCCCAGTAACCACTAGAGATTTAAATTTTTCTGCACTTCTGCATAGTGTTGCTACTGTGGATTGACTAAATTGAGGGAAAACTTTGGACAGGCTGAGAGTTGGGTGGGGAAAAATTTAATTAAATTAAACCAGATCAAGTATAGGGTCTTGCATCTGGGGAAAAACAACCCCATGCACCCGTACAGGTTGGGGTCTGACCTGTTGGGGAGTAGCACAGCAGAAAGGGACCTGAGGGTGCTGCTGGATAGTAGGATGACCATGAGCCAGCAATTTGCCCTTGTGGCCAAGAAGGCCAGTGCCATCCTGGGGTGTATCAGAAGGGTTGGTTGTAGGTCAGAGAGATTCTCCTTCCCTGCAATATTGTGTCCAGTTCTGGGCCCTCAGTTCAAGAAGGACAGGAACTGCTTGAAAGAGTCCAGCGCAGAGCCACAAAGATGATGGAGGGAGTGGAGCATCTCCTGCTGAGAAGCGGCTGAGGGAGCTGGGACTCTTTAGCTTGGAGCAGAGGAGACTGAGGGGTGACCTCATTCATGCTTATCAATTTGTAAAGGGCGAGTGTCAGGAGGAAGGAGCCAGGCTCTTCTCTCTGATGTCCAATGACAGGACAAGGGGCAATGGGAGCAAGCTGGAGCATAGGAGGTTCCATGTGAACATGAGGAAAAGCTTCTATACTGTGAGGGTGACAGAGCCCTGGCCCAGGCTGCCCAGAGAGGTTGTGGAGTTTCCTTCTGTGGAGACATTCAAAACCCACCTGGACGCGTTCCTGTGTGACCTGGTCTGGGTGATCCTGCTCTGGCAGGGGTTGGACTGGATGAGCTTTCGAGGTCCCTTCCAACTCCTGACATTCTGTGATTCTGTGTGTGAAAAGCTGAATATCCATAATCCTCCTTGTTCAGAATGCTACATACAAGTAGAAGGAAAGGTTTTGTAACATGCACATCAGGTGGTTCACTCAGCTGTGCTGAGGATACCTATTTACTTAGCAAATGCTACAACAGATGGCAATCATGATGTTCAGTAGCAGTCTGGTCTGGATCTTAGCAAACCCCAAGAAGTGAAAATGCTAAATGTCCCTATCCAATCTCCTGCTTTATAACACTTTCCCAAATCATAATTTGAGAGTTCTAAAACAGTGTGGTTTATTATGTCAGATTATAGATCAGCAGCGTATGAGAAGACAGAACTATTTCCAGAGGGAGAGTAAAGGTTGAAAAGATTTGCAGTAGCCCATCCTCGGCTGTTGGTGCATACAAATTCATTTATCCTCAGGGAACCGTTCGTCATACCTACACGTTCAGAGTATTTCAGTGCGGGTAATGGCCTTTCCCTGTAGAGATATTTTGCTTGAAACATTCTGTGTCTCAGCATCTGAAAAAAAGACTGAAACTAATGCTAGAAAGTTTAGCTGCCTTCTTCTCATGAGAAAATTAATCATGGCTCATTGCAGAAGCACGTATCATTATTTTTCCTATTTATCATCTCCTTTCTAATTACATTAACTAGAGATTTGTATACAAGTATTATTACATCTCTCAGTCATAAATATCCCCTGCAACTGCAGAATAGCAATAAGCAATCAAACAACAAAGCCCACAGAGCCAATACAGAATCAGACAGCACAGTCCTGTAATTTTCATTATTAATCATTAATATGTAAGAGATTTCAATCCACTTTATTCTTTAAATGTGCAGATTTACTGTGATCTAAATACCATCTGTGTTGGTACTGAAATTTCAATTATATTGTGAATTTTGGCACCATGTTGGCACAGCTTCAGATCTTCACCATACTTAACTCTTGCCATACATAAAATCTCTGCTCTTACCCTGCATTGAGCTCTTAATATATTACTCCTGATGCTGTGTCTTGGAGCCAAAGAGGAGTGTGCTTTAAATCTCATTCTCTCCTATTTACATTTCCTTCTTCAAGTCAGTCCTAATTGAAGAAAATGTTTCCTGTCTCCCAAACTATCCTTTTGTATTCGGATCCCCTCTAAAGGGTCAATTTCTGCACATAAGCCAGCATTATTATTATTGTTCTTAATAGTAAGTATTGTTATTAATATTTGTATTATTACTTTTTAGGAAAATTCCAATTGTTTATTCTTTCTTGTCACATTTTAAGTTCTCTCAGGCAATGACTGTCCTTTTTGATGTTACTTACGGCAAGGAGAATGGTTTTGGTACTTAACTGAAAAATGGTGCTCTTGTGACATCTAACCAAACATGAAAGTGGCTAACGAGAAATGCTTATTCTTACCATCAGCTTATTCACCACCGATGGAAAACCATATACTCTCTTCTGGAAACAATGGCACTTTAGAGTACAAGGCATCTCTGGCCCCTATCTCACCGGGAAGATACTCCCCCATTCCAAAGCACATGCTTGTGGAGGACGACTACACCAGGTCAGTGGCTTCTCTTTATTTCTTACCTTTCCTGACAGTTGCAAAGGACGTTGGTAAAGCATTCAGTGCACCTCCACTAGAGTACAGCATCTTTTCACCCATGTACAAGGGAAGATGAGTTGAAACTGTTACAGGTGTGAAGATAACGAAGAGAAAGACCACAGGAATGAATGCTGACCTGAGGTCCATGTTCTCCAGGTGCAATCCAGCAGCGTGGCACTGAGCAAAATTTTCTGCTTCCTAACAGATGTATTAGACATGATAGTTCCTTACTGACACAAATAGGACATCTTGGGATGAGTGACTCCTCTGGCTCATACATGTGTGGGTGGAGTGACTGTATGTGCGCTTGTACCTGTCTGTGACTGTACACGCTGAAAGGTCCAACTTCTTTAATTTAGCGAGACTGAAATAGCCTGCAATTGCTCTGTGTTACACACATTGAAAGATAAATGTAACAGAGAGTAAACACTATGAGGAAAGAAAAAAAGAGTAAACTGGCTGCGACTAAATATAGGAGGGAAACTGGAAAAAGTTTCTTAACCATTAAAGCAATCCTAATATCAAAGAGTTTGCTGTTGGAGCACAGAGGTTAAAAAGGAACTGTTTATGCAGTGGCACTTGATGCCTTTCGAAAAGGGGTTCTTTGATGTGATTATCAGCAAAATTACCCTGGAAATTGCTTCTGATCCTGTTTTTTTAATGATCCCAAAAGGACTGAGACTACCATGTGGAAGTATGGTAGCAGAATTTTCTCTATGTAGTTGATTTCCAGGTAGAAAAGGCACATAAGAAAAAGCTGGGAGGGCTCTTTTATATCTGATGTTAGATCCACATGAATGTCACTGGTGAGACAGTGTGTATTTATCTGTCTGTTTGAAGAGCTCTACCATTCACTTAGAAGACATCAGTTGTTAAGTTTGTAAAATGAGCCCTCATTATAATGTCTAGTGCCACAGCAAATGAGAAATTAATCTTTTTTCCGTGCTTCAGTATTTATAAATTCATTGTGTTTGAAGCTGGGAGGAGGCTGTTGCAGTCATCCAACCTGACCTACTGTGTACCTCAAGCCAAAGAGTCTCATCCACTTATGTATTCATCAGCTTCATAACTTGCTAATTTGCATGTCAGGTTTCTTGTTGCGTACAATTACAATCTCAAGCTGCTAAACTTGTTGGATCAGACAGATTCAGAGTAACTACATCATGATACAGTGTTTAAATAGAGTATAAATGTATGGAAACCACACCTTGCTTCCCTGTCTTGGCCAGAAGAATTTCTCCTTTGTTTTGATTGAGGATGTAAAGCTGACATTGCTTTCCTTCAGTTTATGAGACATTCAATTAGGACGAGTTTTCTCCAAAAGGGTTCAAAGAAATTACATTTTTTAATTCATAGTTAAAACATTGATTTCAATAAATTGTGCATCAAGTCTTTACCTGGGCTAATACTGACCTCATAATTTCTAAAATGCCCACATATAGGAAGAATACCAGTATAGTATCTGGGTTACAGAGGTGAAGGCTTTGTCAATAAGCTTGCAGTCCTGAATTCTCTTTTCCTGTAATGAGATGTCAGCACCGTTATTACTGAGAAAGAGTTGGCAGACTTTAAAAACAGCAAAAAAATGCTACTTTAAAAGTAGATAATAGTTAAGGAGAAGATCAAGTCACAAAAAGGGAAGGAAGCAATACTAAAAAAGGAGAAAAGCTGCCCTGAGAATAAGAAGAGAAGGCAATGACAGTCGTAGTCCATTAGTTTTGTTGGTATCCGGTAGAAAGTGTACCTGCTCAAAGAACTATGCAGGATATATATTCAAATTAATTAGTATGTCTTTTTGATCTTTTTATGTAGAAAGATGTATTCATATCCTGATATTTGTAGTTCGTTTTTACACAAGATAATTTTGCTGGTTTAGCTCCTGACAGTAAAGCCAGCCAAAGTCCAGTTCTTGACTGAGATGTTCACACCAATGTCCATTTTGTGTTATTAGGGGGAAAAAATGAATGCACAGAGAAACCATATATATCCTGTGAAATACTCCTCTCCTGTGTTCTTCTTTGTATCTGGATTCCCAAATTAGTGCGTTGTCTAATGAAAGTCTGATACCTGAAGTCTGCTCTGGCATTGGCAGTACTGACAGGAGAGGCTGACTCTACAAGCGTCACCTTCTGTGGGAGGCGTGTGCCACTGGCAGGAATAAAGGTGTTGAGCAAGAGGAGCAGACTCTGGATGCAACAGAGCAAATCAGATTAAAATCTCATCGTTCTAAACAAGCATTTACTTTGACCTATTGAAAGGGAGGAGACTATTATGAGCATAATTATATTAGGGATAATATCTTATATGCTACACTGATACCCAAGGTACAAAAGCACAAAGATAAAATGAATGTAGTCATAAGAAAAATGGCATTTCTTGCCATTGCATTTCCTCACTGGACATATATCATACAGCACTACCTAAGAAACACCCAAATAAGAGCCAGAGACCAGATTTCTCCTTTGACTGCAATGACTAAGAAGCTCTGGCCTTCAAAACCAAACAATTTAACCCTTGAATGATGCTGGGACTTTATTTTTTAATGTCCATGTAGCTAATTACTGCCTATCAATTCAAGTGGGACTATTGAAAATGCCACACTTAATTTTCACAGTGATTTTCACAGTTATGAACTGAGATTAGTGAATGCACTTTTTCTGTGCAATGCCATAGGGTTTGCTGATGAGTCTGCCATGGAAATAAGAAGATATTTGGAAAGTCTTTGTTGCTGACCAGTTCAGAAAGATTTAAAATCTTTTGGGAAGTTGATAATCACAGCGATAATTTTAGTGAAACCTGTAGATCCCTTGATTGCAGCATTTATAATTAGGTTTCCTCGCGTACTTTTTTATAATTAGGATGATTGCCAACTACTGCAGTGCTTTCCATTAAAACTACCTGGTTCTTGCTATAGTCGGTTTTCAAAGCTATTTTATATGGTGTTCACATAAGAAAATTTATTACCCGTGCAGTCATAATATGGCAACACTTCTGGCAGATCTTCATTTATGCCAGCTAAAAATGTTGAAAACAGTAACTTCTCCACTGTAAAAGGCTTTTGCAATGTCATGATTTGAGTGAGGCTGATGACAAGCTTTCTTTTAACTTACTTCCTAGAATGAGTCTGTTGGTAAAGTTTAAATGGTAGAGCAGCCAACTTAACTTGTCCACTTTCTCTTGCTTCTCTGTATTGCTTTTCTCTTTTTTTATTCCAGTTCTAATTTTTTTTACCTAAATACTTGTATTTTGCCCAACAAAAATAAGTACATCCGTTGAAAAAATCTTGCCTTTTCTGTTCTGATATTGAATTTGCATCTGAAAAAAAATTGATACAACTTCTAATTGATAAATCTATGGGGAAAAAAATAACATAATCCAAGCACAGAGGGTAGAAAAGTAACAAATCACCTCCAACCAAAAGGTCTAATGAAGCTGGGAATTGTCTTTAAATTACTGAACTTTTTTTTACATTCAATCTTTAACAAAATGACAAAAAAACGTATAATATTAGTCCAAATTGCTGTCAGTGATGGACATAATTTACTTTTTGTTTGGATGGATTAATTCCAATATTTTGTTAAAGACTGATAAGAGATGATCCCATTTCTACTTGGACTTATATTCTTCTATGCTTTTGTTAAAGACTCATATGACTGACTTCACATATTTTGTTTGGATGGATTCATTTTAAATTCATTTGAGATGGAAGCTTTGCCTTCCTGTATTTTTATAAAGATTGCCACCTTCTAAAATTTCACTAAAATAGCACAATTTCATGTTAGTAGAATGTGGGATCAGAAGTGGATAAAAGCTAAATGCCAAGTAGCTGTATCAATACAACCATCATCATCATCATCATTCTGTAAGTATTTCTTTTAGTTTCTAGTCAGATTGAAGTGTTGTGCAGGCAATGCAGGAGATTACTTGATTTTGTTGCTGACAATTTCCTAATGCTGCTAGACGGGGGAAACAGGAATAATTCTCCACTTGCCATGAGTTGGTTCAGTTCATGATTCAAAGGAAGTCTGGAAGGACAGCGAGTTATGACTGTAGACCTCAGAAGAGCAGACTTCAGCCTTTTTGGAGAATGGCTAAGCAAGATTTCTTGGGATGCTGCCACAGAAATACAGGGTCCATTAAAGATGCATGATTTCTAAATAAAATTTAGTAAGAACCCTGGAATGAACCATGCTGAAGGTGAGGGATTCAGTAGGCAGCCTTTTTGGCTGGGCAAAGAGCTTTCTGATGACCTAAAATGCAAGATGTAGACAAGTATTACTGGAGTGCTATATGACAAATCTGATTGATTTGAGCTAAGACTTAACGAGAGTCACAAAGGATAACAAAAAGTGATTCTGCAGATGTGCTAGTTTCAAAAATGAAGGTAAAATTTGATTAAGGGAAAAACTGATGAATGGGACAGTGGAAGACAATGCAACCACAGACTATATAGAAAAAGTTGAGGAACTCAACAACATCTTTGATGGGCATTTAATAGACCACAAGGTAATTGGAGTAGTCAGCATAGATTTACCAAAAGCAAATCGTGTGCTTGTCCAACCTGGCTGCCCTTCCTGATGCATGGATAAGGGAAGAGCAGTGGCTACCCTCTACCAACCACTGCCACAGCGCAGGTG